CTCACAAAGAGATTATGGGATTATGAAAATCTGTTAGTGACATTTTTCTATTTTATTTTTTCCACTTGGCGCCAAGAAGAAAACACAGACAGATATAAAATGAAAAATTTAGATTATAAAATCCCTATTTTACAAATTAAATTCATAACTAAAATAAAGTGAAAATGCAAACATAGACAATATTATGACTCATTTGCAATTGTGGTTACTTGAATATTTCAAAAACACAATGTATTATTTTGCTCTTGTATTTTAGATTCAATATAGTAAAGAAACATTCTGTCTGTTAATACAGTGTATTGTGCTATTTGGTTTGAGAGCTTGTTGAGTTTATGTTTTAATCAGTAACTTTCACTTTTCTTCTTATTTTGCTCATGTAATTCTACCTTGTTTACTAGGAGTCCTGCCCAACGTTACTCAGGTTCTGCTTCCCGTATGACATACAAAGGTGAGTAGGAACTAATAAAAGTAGCTGGCTGATTAAATCTGGGTTACATTTCCTTTTTATTTTTTCTATGTCCTCTCTTCAATGCACTCATCTGTTCAGAGTGAGGGATGGATTCACTGTGCAGAACTTTACTTTTGTTTTGACTGACCTTGAGGGATGCCAGCAGTTCGGCTTCTGTCGTCTCACCAACAGCACTCAGAACTGCCTTTGCATTCTCAGGTATTGTTCCCTGTTTGTGTTCACTTTTCGAGCTGCTTCACATTTACACATTTTCTCTTTGTTGGATTAGTTATCTTCCATGGTTTGAAGTGTTTTACAAACTTCTCAACAATTTGGCTGACTACCTGGCAAAAGCACAGGTGAGGACTGAACTTTACAAGCTACATAAACCTGCAGGAACGTCCCACCATAAATATGTTTCCCTCAACAGTTTAATGAGATGAAGGCGCTCCTGGCTGCACTCTACAAACAGTCCGTACCCCTGGCTGATGGATCTGTCACTTTGCAGATGGTAAATCTCTCACTTAGCCACTCCGATCCAGGAGAAACCGTAGATTTTTTTAAATCTGTTCTGCCAGTGGTATTGCGTGTTGTGTTTTTTCTGAGGGAGAGCAGCTTGTGGTCAGCACAGAAGTGTCTCCTCCTGTTGGACACACAGAGGGACGAGCGGGGGTGAGTTCCACAGGAGTTTATGTGGCCCTGAAGCAGATTCAGCCAAATAAACACAAACTAACTCCTGCTGGAAAACACTGGCTACCTGAGCTTGATGGCTTTAATGTGTGGACTAAACTCTTGTGACTCACCCCTCTGAAGGACTACATGTTTATGTCAAATTTAACACATTTTGCACTGGCTAGCTGTCATTGTAGTTTCTGGATTAATCACATTAATCTGTCCAATCACTGTGAATAATGCAAGGGTAGTTGTTGATATTATTGCTGAAARAGGAAATGTTTGTTTGATGAGAAATAACACTGTGTTGCCTAAAACTAAAGATGGTTGTGTTGTGTAAACCTTTGTGTTTGCATTTCATTTCAAGATTAAAAATGAATYACCATCAAATGCAGCTCTGTTTTGTGAAAATATTTATATAAAGTTCAAAAACACAAGGCTTGACTGACAGTGATTCCCCACATAGCAGATAGGTTTGGGCCAGATCTGGTCACTGCAAAAAATGTCCACCTAACCAATTTTTTTAAACTTATATCAGCCAAAAAGTCTTTTTGATTTTGTTTTGAGACTGATTTACTAAACAAGAACTGATTGTGTAAGAATAATAATCTTGTTTTCAGAATGTGTAAGATTATTTGTCTTATTAGGTCTGAAAATTTGACTCAAGTCAAAAATTTCTGCCAATGGAGTAAGAAAATTTTACTTGGTAAGGTTCTTGAAATATTTGATTC